CTGGTATAAACCACATGTGGCTCAGCTGTGTCCCCCCAACTCTAAACTGCTGGTACAGAGGGTGTGCAGCTCAGCAGTGTCTCTCTCCACCCCACCTCACCCGACTCTAGACTTGAGGTACAAAATGCAGCTTGGCTGTGTGCCAAAAAAACTGCCGGTACAAACACACGCAGCTCAGTTGTGTCTCTTGAGTCACGGTTCAGTCCATAGACCAAGAAAAGAGGCAGTTAATCAAAGACAGAGCAGTCAGAGAAATGGAATCATTCCTGCGAGGAATAGAGGAAGCGGAAACACCAGCAAAAGCTTCAGGGTCAGCTGAAGACACCTTGTCACAACTTGTGGAAGTTATACCTGATTTAAAGGCAACATTTTTTCTTGTATGTTACATTTATGCTCAACAGATTTTAAGCTTTCATTTTATTTTTTGGGGGAACTGCACACTTTAGTTTTTGTGGTGGATTTTGTTGTTCTATATTTTGTGCAGACTTTTTCAATCTAAATAACAGAAGGATCATTTATATGTTTTTTTATTTTTATACTTTGAGACTGAATACTAAATAATTTCAGTAAAAATACCCTTGCTTTTTTTTTTTTAGTTTTTATATAATATTGCAAAGCAACATGTTAAGTTAATTTTGTCAAATGAATAACTGATTTAAGTTTCTTTTTTTTTTTTGTTGTATCACAAAATTTATCGTTATCGTCAGAATGCTCTGAGATATCACAATATTATATTTGAGCCATATCGCCCACCCCTAGTTAGGTTTAGAGTGGGGGTCAGGGTTAGGCTATAGCAAATGAATGGAAGTCAATGCAAAGTCCCCAAAAAGTACATTTAAAAGAACATACACACACACATACACACAGATGCATAGACAAATCAGCAGCCACTGAGCAGAAAGTCAAAAACCATTTTTCTTTTCTTTTCACAAAGACACCCATTTTAGGAGTTTTTCTGCGGTTACTCTCTACCACTGTTGCCACCAGATTCATTTTTTTCTTCCTCAGATTTAACTAAAGATTAAACTAAAGCTATACAGATGTTGCTTTCGTAACTTGAGTTTTACTGCACTGAGCCATCACCAGGAGGCAAAGCCTTTAGGAACACAAATAAAGTCCTAATGCTTACCTCCAGATCCCCTCTGCTTTTCCCCTCTAACATTCTTCACATCTCTCCCGCTCCATGCTGCCACGATGCACAAACAAACAGGATGTTTCTGAAGCAGTCACGGCGCACGTTTCAGAATGCTACTCTGATTTATTTTTCAAAGACTTTCAGATTTGAGTAGGTGTCAGTCTGTTGAATCGCAACATTAATTTGGTGTGCTATGTTCAGATATGACAGACTGTATGTTTACTCTCAGCCCAGGCCAAGCAATATTTATGAATAATATTGTATATTTGAAACTACTCAAGTGTCAAATTAATAATATTTGACATATAAGACAGTCACAGTGGAGGCTGATTTCTGGAAAATATATTTAAAGGACATTTAATTATATTTTTTTCATGCTTGAAGCTAATCTGATGTTATCTGACATGCAATAAAAGCTAGTGTACATTTTTGAATTCCATTTTCTTTTATTCCTATGTTCTCTCTTACAGCTGAGATGGAACTGCATGTCCCAGAGCAACCAGTAGTGGCGCTGCACGGCAGTGATGTCACGCTCAACTGCTCCTTCAACCAGACAGTTCCCTTCAACTTGTCTGATGTTAGTGTTTTCTGGCAGCTGACAGACACTAAACGCAGTGTGCATGGGTACAGCAAGGGACACGACCAGCTGGTAGACCAGGCAGAGGCCTTCGCCAACCGTACCAGCCTGTTTCCTACCCAGCTGGGCATGGGCAACGCCTCACTTCGGCTAAGCAGGGTGCTCGTGGCCGATGAAGGCAGCTATACCTGCTTTGTCAGTGCGCAAGGATATAGCAGTGCTGCTTTGCTGCTGCAGGTAGCAGGTGAGTCAACATGTGACATTTATGGCACATGTAAAACAAACATTTAACATGGATGCAGTCTTTGTTGCGGACTCTATACAAATATCTAAATTTGATTTTATGTAGTACAGCACACAACATTTTTTCTTGAACAAAACTGGTAAGCCATAGTGTAGTATGAATGAAGATGGTACAAGTACACTGAAACTATGTATTTCACTATGGAGGGATTATTCAAGAGTTATCCAACTGTGGTCCTCAGGGTCTATTCTTCATATTTTAGAGCTGGTTCAACAAATCTTATTCAAAATACATTGTTACTATACCAAATAATGACACATCATACATTTGATTGATTTCTGGTAACAGAATTTTTCAAATGTTGATTCTATATATAAAAAAAAAAAAAAAAAACACATTTACAAGCTGGAGCTGTGAGTTTTAGCCTTTTAATGACACATGCATGCACTTCATTCACTTCAGGCTTGAGCATGGAAACAGTTCATCCAAAATGGCGAATAAAAATTGTATACAAACATTCATTTGGACCGAGGATGAGATTGAATTATTCCTACCTGTTCAAAAAGGGCGAGAAGCACAAACAGCACTCTGCTGTTCACTGTTACTGTTGTCCATCTATCTGTGCAAGTGTGGAAAAACGTGACTGTAGCTGTGTATAGTGCACGTGCACAATTTCACACCGCATTTCCAAAAACCTCCAGTTGGAGACCTGGATTGAAAAAGATTAGTGTTAGAGAAAACGTCCGTTGTTGTCGTGTACATGAACCAAATGCTAAGGTTTCACTCAATAATAATAGTAATAAAAATAATAATAATAATAACAACTTTATTTATAAGGCCCTATAGCCATAGCTGCAACAAAGTGCCGTATATTTAAAATCAAGAACATTTAAACACATAAAAATAATAAAAAGAGTTACAACAGTAAAACCACTAAAAACAATAAAAAACTGTAGTGCAGAGCAGGTCTCAGGCTGTGCCAGAAGCCAGGGAATTAAAATGTGTTTTTAAAGAGCTTTAAAAATGGGGGAAAAGGAGATTGTTCCATAATCTTGGAGCAGCTACAGAAAAAAGCTTGGTCCCCTCTGAGCCTCCGTTTGGACCTCGACACTTCCAGGAGCAGCTGATCAGCTGACCTGAGGCACTGAGCATGAGAGTGCAGTTGAAGCAGCTCAGCGAGGTAAGATGGGGTATGACCAGAGCAGAACAAAGGACCCTGGGGACCACTGATCTGAGAGATCACATGCTTGAGTCACAGTTAGACCTAAAGCTAGTTCATGAACTGGAAACATCCGTTTTATGTGTCGCTGTTTTTTTTTTGTTTTTTTTTTGTGAGTTGTAAACAGGTAATAAACATCTTCCTCTGTGTTTCCGAAGATTGTTTTTTGTCAATATGCACTGATTGTGGTTCCTGTCGTGGTCAATATTTGCTGACTTTGATTATTAGTTGTTGTCACGGTCAATCAACCATCACTAACATCTTCCATGGTGTGCATCCACATCGCCCACCTTCACAGCTCAGAGGCTTTTAGTTATTTATAATGATTGTGTGTGCCTTCTCTTTCTCACATTCCTTTATCTGTTGTGTGATTGCTTTATTTTTTTTCTATTCTCCCAAGAAGGAGATTCATTAGGTGGGCGTTAAGTTACTTTCTATTTGTCTTGTGCGTGCAAAAAATTAAGCTTGCGTCTAGAAATGACAAAGTTGTTTTAATTTATGCTACATATTTTTAGATATTATATGTTTTTCTAATATTTATACATTGTTTTGGAAATTATTTCATTCTGCTCTGAAAAAAAAAAAAGAAAAAAGCTCAGGATGAAAATCGGTAAGTCATATCCACAGCTTGAAAAGCTGATGTGACCCATGTTAAGCCTATTATTGTGTTCAAAGTCCACTTTTCAAAAAGCAGCTCAGATAAACTTTCAGACTCAGCTCCACTTACTGGTGGCACTTACCATGCTTGATTGTATGTAGCTTCCTCTCCTCTTTACTCATGCTTTAGCTCAAGTGATTTTAAAAGGTGACATCAACCGTGAATGGTGATTCATCATTCGTTGCATTTCTTTTATACTCCTTAGTGCCAAAGACCAAGTTGTTTCAGCTATTATAGCCGTAAAGTCTTTTTTTCAGCTTCTCTGTTTGTGCTGTGTCTGAGTGGTTAGAGCAGTCTTCCTCCAATGCAAGAGTTGGGGGTTCGATTCAACCAGCAGTCACATGCCGAAGGGTCCCTGGACAAGACACTGAACCCCTCATTACCTCTATTGTGTGTCCCATCAGTGCATGAATATGATAAAGCACTGATTAGTCTTTGTAAAAGTATAGTAGAGTGCTGTATGAATGGGTAAAGGAGGGCACAGATTGTAGTGTAAAGCACTTTGAGTATCTTGATCAGATAGAAAGGCACTATACAAGTACAGTCCATTTATCATTTGTCCTGTTTTTTTTCTTGTTGACCTTAAAACAAATTAATTCATTATATGTTTGCTGCTCTCTTATTGTCACCATATCCTCATTCATATTTCACTTGTGCCATTCCTCCTGCCCTGAAACTCTCCCTGTTTTTTCTTTTGCTGTTTCCTAGCTCCCTACACCAAGCCTGTGTTGACTTTAGAGCCTGAATCCAACTTACGTCCGGGTGATGAGGTGGCTCTGACTTGTATAGCATATAGAGGGTATCCTGAGGGTGACGTTATATGGCAGGATGGAAGTGGACGTAATTTGACAGACAATATCACTTTGTCTGTTGTGGCCAACGAAGAAGGGCTGTTCACAGTGACCAGCGTTCTATCAGTTGTGCTGGAGCCCAACAGCACCTACAGCTGCCGGATAATCAACCCACTGCTTGGTGAGGAGGGCTTCGGATTTGCCACAATTTCAGGTGAGAGCGGATCTTCAACAATTATTATTATTTTTTTTTAAATAAAAGAATAAATGGTGTTTTAGTGAACAGTGCCACTACTAGTCATGTGAAAATCTTAAACAGCTTGTGTTTACTAATCATTTTTAATGTTTAAATGTTACCAGGACAAAAGCCACAAACTAATTTTGTTTACAATTGTGCATACACACAATATCATATCATTTTTACTCTTCTTCATTCCATCCAAAAGGCATGCCAATTTGTCTGTATGAATAATTGAACCAGTAGGTTGTATTCTTCTTAAGGAGCGTCAAATAGCCATTTCTCGCACATCACATTTCAAAGACCAAACAGAAAAGAATCAGCAAGAATATAGTAACAGGTTTCTTAGATGCTGTTTGCAAGAAAACATATTAACCAGAGTTTAGATTGATATTTTTAATTTATCAAATTGTTTGATGTTCTACTCTATGCGTGTTAGTACCTACATTGTCATTTTATTGGTCTTTGATGGTCCTCTCCTACTTCCTGCCTCCAACCATGCCTCCCTGTCTCTGATAGTGTACTCTGTGTGTTAAATGTGATGAGCATGCCATGTACGGTGGGCTGTGGTTGGGTCTCTAATGGGAGCAGGACTGTGTGAAATGGCTCATAAATAAGTAGAGGTGGCCCGAGCTGACTCTCTGGACTGCGGCTGGTGCTGGTGCTCGTCCTGTTGAGACGGGGGTCAAGGCAGAGGTCAGGGATTGCTGCTCCACTGGGCTGGGAAATGACTGCTCTGTCTGGAAACAGGATGGCCAAATGGCAGGACTGTATGGCTGAGTGCAGGTGGCCTTTCTAACAGTTTGGTTGGCCTCTTTCAAAACAGATCAGATAACCAGTCAGAACAACCATTGTGGGAGTGGAAAGCCATTAAGCACATGGGGACAAAAAGAAACTGTCAAAATAGTTGTTGCTGTTACCTAATTCAGTTACATATAGAGTCAAAATGTGTTTGATATTATCACTGTGCTTTACACTAATTATTTTCAGGCATAACAGAAATCAGTCATGATGTACTAGAATTTTTTCAGCGGTACAACACCTGTTATTTGTTTCAAATAATTTATTAGTATTTGCTATAGCTTACAGTGGCATGACCCTTTCATTCCTAGGTCTGTAATTACCGTTAAATGCCAGGAAAATGACTTTGGTTACTATAAATTAACAAACTACTGGTACTTCCTTGGCTTTTAAGATTTTTTTTGTTCCGAAATGATGTGTCAAAAGCCAGGATTTTTGTTTTTGTTGTGTTGAGTTTGGTTTAGTTTAGTTGCCAAGCTAAACATTCCAACTAAACCTACAGTATAATGCTATTATAGTGTGCTTGGCATGCCCCGTTTGGTTGAAGTTATGCACCTTAAATATTAAGTCTTTAGTGTCATTACACCATAGTAGAAGACGTTATAAAAACAAATTTACAAACAGCCATTATAACCTAAATGTAGTGATGGAAATTTCAAGAGCCAAAGTGATATACTTTACTTTTTGGCCTGCTAAACTAGCTGTTGGACTAGTTATTGTTGTTTCGGCTACTTCCTCCTGCAGGGGTTGCCACAGCAAGTGAACTTGTATGAAGAGTTTGGTAATTGTACACCTGATGCCCCTCCTGACCCAACTTGGGCTCAAACCAGCAGAATCAGGAGAACAAGACCACAGCACTGACGGACTGAGCTACAGCAGCAAAGCTAATGGACTAGCACAGTGGTTCCCAACACTGGTCCTTGAGGAACACCATCCTGCATGTTTTAGTTGTTTCCCCACTCTGACACACCTGATTTGAATAAATGGGTGATTAACAAGCTTGCACAAAACTCAAAGAAGTAATTAATCACTGAATCAGGTGTGTTGGAGCAAGGAAAAAACTAAAACATGCAGGATGGTGTTCCTTGAAGACTCTGGTTGGGAACCACTGGACTAGCACAGGCTATGAAAGAAAACCAAGAGCAGCATAAAAATATATAATAGTTTGGCCAAAAATGGTAAAACAGTTTATTTTTTAATTTAGCAAAGATTCAAAGAGGGACAGCAAAACAAGCAAACCCACAAACACGCTTGGAGAAAACCCTTAATTAAAGCACCGGTGACCGTTTTTCTGCAACTGGGTGCACATGAATAAGAGTAATTTCTCAGTTGGAGTGCTAGCACAGCTTGATGATGACACAAGTTGTTTGCAAATATGCACAAGATGCATAGTATTGTGAGCGGCAAGATAAGGGGGCTTGTTTGAAATGAAAGCATGTTTGCGTTTGTTTACAACAGCTGGTGTGTGCTTAACAGTTTCTGTAATTAATTTTGACCTAGCAAAAGTCTTCTGCTGAAATAGCAGAATGCCGAGCTAGAGTTGATATAGTGAATAATGCTTGCTGTGTACACTACGCACTGTATACACAAACACTGCACTCAGGCAGTGGTGAATCGTGTTATGAGAATGGATAAATCTGCTTAAAAGTTAAAAGGTCTATAAGTAAAATAAAAAAGTGAGAAATTGGGAATTTAAAAAGAGGGAAATATAGCGGGTAGCTAGTGAGGGTCCAAGTATTTTAAATTTCCACACACTCTCCCAATCTCTGATAGAAAAATTACAATTCTAATAAAAATCTCCCCCAGGCAGAACAGGAGTTTGACAAGGTTAATTTTGAGAAAAATGAACCCTTTACCCATACTGAACAGAGCACTGTGCGGTCTGCAAGTTGAGTCCGTGTTAAGTCATCCATGTTAATCTCATCTCTTTTTCTAGTCACCAGTTAAACAAACCATTGCAACAGAGTGTTCACAAAGTGCTTACATTCACACCAGTATCCATCTAAATTTGTAAACAGACACTGCAGAGTTCTGGTCAGTTTTTAAATCAGTGGTCTAGAATAGGGCGTGTTTTGTGCTGCTGGGATATTGATAGATTTGCGGAGCGAAGCAAGACTTGGATGTAGGGAGGCCCAAAGGAACAGCTGGTATTAATGAACAGTCGAGTGATGGAATGGAGCAGCTTCAGTTTTCAAATGAACTGAGGCCAGTCTGCCTGCATGGACAGTGTTGAAACCTTCTCTTACTTGTCTTTTTTGACATTACTCTGTCTCACACGCCAAGCCTAACATCTGTGTTCTGCTTAAGGTCAAGGTCAAGGTTCTTTATTGTCATTCACATCACATGCGGTACATGAGGTGGAATGAAACTATGTACCCAGGGTGCCAGTTACATCCAACAAAAATACAAATTGTAAAGAAAATCAGTAAGATTGAAGATATGAAGTAAGAGATACGCTAAACTAAGAATACACTAAGCACTAATAGTACAAAACAATGTGCCAAACAACAATAGCATGAACATGAGTTTGTGTGAGCAGATGAGGACGGATGAACACAGCAACATGATATAAATCAGCAGCATGAGATCAGCATCATTGATACTCAGCAGCACATATCAACAATCAAGTGGCATTACAGTGATGTTTTTTCACAGTAATTTTCACAGTGATAATCCTGACTAGGGATTCATGAGTCTTAACATCTTCAGGGTTGATGCTGTTCCTCAGCCTAGTGGTTCTGCACTTAATGCTCCTCAACCTTCTGCCTGAGGGGAGTGGGGCAAAAAGTGTGTGTGCTGGGTGAGTGGGGTCCTTCATGATGCAGGTGGCCCTCTTTCTACATCTAGAGGTGTATGTCTGTGATGGTGGGGAGACTGACTCCAACAGACTTCTGTGTAGCCTTCACCACTCTGCAAAGCTTTTCTTTCGGCAGCTGTGCAGCCTCCATGTCACACATTGATGCTGGAGCACAGGATGATCATGCATCTGAGATCAGGGTTCTGTTTCCTAGCATTTGTTTTTCATCCACTGTTGCAGTTTGCTTTCTGATGGTTTGGATTTAGAGCTTGTCTAGCCTCCTCTCCAGCACCACCTCCCCCTCCTGACTTCTTCCCCTCTCAGTGCAGATGGCGCCATTTTCCCAGCATCACTCTGCTGGCACAGCGTTTACAGTGAAATTTTGTGGATGGAGATAGAGTGGTGACATGAAGTAGATGGAAAGATGAGCTAGGAAGATAAAGAGCTGTGAAGGGATGTAGAAGGGAGAGAGAAAGCAAGATGGAGACAGCACTTTCTGGGCTCAGAGCTGAGACATTATGGCCCAACTGGCTGAAAATAGCCCACCCCATCACCATGCTTTGGAAGACTTTAGTGAATTTTATTATTTGGCCCTTTGCCTTGTTTTGACTTGGATGCACAATGAGTTAGTGGCTAATATTGTATTTTTTTCTCAACACAGTTTCTGTCTGGAGGGTGATGAGGTGTTCCAATTGAACATAGTAACCAGTAATAAGTGTTTTGTTTTTTTTTTGTTTGTTTTTTTGTACGATGCAAGCTGAGCTGTTACTATGTTACTAAACAGTTATGTGAGAAGACTACATATTTGGGGATAGCTACAACATCTCTGCAGCATGGCTGAATTTTTGCACATTTTGTTGTTTTCTGTAGAGAAATTCTTTATAGAAAAAAGTGTGTCCAATTGACAGTTATGTGGGCATGAACAACAACCTACAACAAAATGTTTACTTTGTGCAGCACTACAGCATCATGGTTAACACTATTGCCTCAAATCAAGCAGGTCCTGGGTTCATGTCCTAGGTTGAGCCAGTCTTTCTATGTGGAGTTTATATGTTCTCTTTGTGTTGGCATGGGTTTTCTCCCAGTACTCCGAAGTCCAAAAACATGCAAATTTAGGTTATCTTCAGGCCCATACCTTCTTGAAAAAGAGATTTGTGATCTCATGATGATATCACATTTGTATTTTACAATCCTAGAGTGATGATTTAAATAATTTATATTATTTGCTTCTTTTAGCACTCACTTGTTATTCTCACTCAAATGATTCCAAATATCTCAGTAATTTGATCACAACACATTGACCACTCTGAACATAGATGTGGTAAATTTGCATTATGTGCATGTTCTTCCTGTCTGTCACTAAGTTTTACATAGTTTTGTAATGAGCAGCAGCACATCTTCCCCACTGTAAGCATATACTGTGTGTTGTAGTCTACGTTTTTCTGGTGTTTTGTTTTGTTCCTTGAGTTTATCTTTTAGTTTTGTTCCTTTTGTGTTTGTTTTATTATTTCTGTTCTTCAGACTTCTCATTTTTCTGTTCCCTATGTCCCCGTTGCCACTTCTCATTTTCCCCCTCAGCTTCATGTTCTTTCCTTAGTCAGCCACTCACACCTGTGCCCACTTCATAATCACCCAGGTGCTTCCATTTTCCCAATCACCTCTGCTCTATATACTCTGTTTCTGGTTCACTACTCATCATTTCTGCCTTGTATTTGATTTTCCATGTCTTGGTTGGTGTTCGCCTCATACTTCTGTGTTTCTCCTCTTTGTGTATGTTTTGTCACCACATTGGCTTTTTGATTTTTGTTTCTTAATATAAACATTTATTTTTATTTTTACTTGAGTTCCCTGAAGCAGTCTTCATTCTGGGTTCAATCCTCTGGTCACCGTGATACTGTCTGCAAAGAAAATCAGTAGA